ACCCGGGGCCCTTTCTCCTAGGAGGTCCCAGTTCATGTTTCTGTGCTTCTATTGGTTGAAGAACCTTGGTTTGGGCAGTCAATTCAGTGGTCATCCTGGTTGTAGATAAAGTATAGAGAGTGCTGGGGGGATTTTCTGAAGAGGTGATTTTGCGCAGAGGCCAGCGCAAAGAGACAAACCACCCTGCGCCGCCCCCCCTGGGGAGGGCTGAGGAAGAGCAGGGTCTCCACAGGGAGGGGCTGCAGGAGCTTGGGAAATAGAAGGAAGACCAGGGTGACTGGAGGCAAGTGCTTTCATCAAGGAGTTTGTTGTTGTTGAGTGTGTCGAGTTGGTTTTAAGTCAGGGCTGTGTGTTTGGAAAGGAGCCCTCGTGGCTCAGTGGTTGAGCACTCAGCCACCAGTCAAAAGGTTAGCAGTCTGAACCCCCCAGCCATTCTGCAGGGGAAACAGGACAGCCATGGAGACGCTCTGGGGCAATTCTAGCCCCACTCTGTCCTATTTGTGACTGTTAGGTGCCATCTAGTTGGCTCTCACCCTAACTGCGTACCACCGAACAAAACACCACCCGATCCGCCGCCACCCTAATTGTTCTTCGGTTTGAACCCATTGTGGCAACCGCTGTGTCGGTCCACCTTGTCGGGGGCCTTCCTCTTCGCCACTACCCTTCTCCCGTACCAAGCACGATGTCCTCCTTCAGGAACCGGTCTCTCCTGGTAACATGTCCGAAGTGTGTGAGATGAATGTCTCGCCACTTTTTGCTTCTAAGAAACATATTGGCTGTGCTTCTTCCAAGACAGATTTACTAGTTCTTTTGGTAGTCCGTGGGACTTTCAATATTCTTCTCCAGCACCATAATTATTCTTCTGTCTTCCTTTTTCTGTGTCCAGCTGTCACATGCATATGAGGTAATGGAGAATGCCCTGGCTTGGGTCAGGCACACCTCAGTCTTCAAAGTAACATCCTTGCTTTTCAGTCCTTTAAAGGGGTCTTGTGCAGCAGAGTTACCTAATGCAACACATCCAGTCTAAACTGGTTTCATTGTACTGCTGCAACCTTTGTTGGATGATCTTCAGCAAAATTTTACTTGCATTTGATATTCATAATTTTGTTCTGTAAGCATTCTGTTGGGTTACCTTTCTTTGGACTGGGTTCAAATATGGGTCTCTGCCAAGTAGCTGTCTTCCAGAATTTCTGGCATAGATGAGAAGTGCTCCCGGTGCTTCAGTTTGTTGAAACATTTCATTTGGCATCCATCAATTCCCGGAGATTTGTTTTTGGCTAATGCTTTTCAGTAGTTAGGTGCTTGAACTTGTAGTTAGGTGCCATCAAGTCCATTCCACCTCAGCCACCCTATGCACAACACCCTCTGTGCAAGTCCATTCCAACAGCCACCCTATGCACAACACCCTCTGTGCAAGTCCATTCCAACAGCCACCCTATGCACAACACCCTCTGTACAAGTCCATTCCAACAGCCACCCTATGCACAACACCCTCTGTACAAGTCCATTCCAACAGCCACCCTATGTATTGCAACACTGCCCAGTCCAGGGCCATCCTCACAGTTCTCTTATGTTTGAACCTGTTGTTGCAACCACTCTGTCAGTCCATCCCACCAAGGGTCTCCTCTTTTTGGCTGCCCTCCACTTTATCAAGTTTGATGTCTTTTTCCAGGGATTAGTCTCTCTTGATAACACATCCAAAGACCTGGAGCCGAAGTCACACCACCCTCAATTCTAAGCATTCTGGCTGTGTTTCTTCCAAGATAGATGTGTCTGTTCTTCTGGCAGCCCATGGTACTTTCAGAAGTCTATCCTAGAGGGTTGCTAGAAGTAGAAATCAGCTAGCTAGCAATGGATGTGTTCTGAAGACAGTTTCAGCCAAGAGCCAGAAAACAAAC